GGAGATGCTGGACTGCATGAAGATCGTAAATGTAGTTGGATTGTTGGGTGTTTGTAAATGATCTTGAAATTTAGGATGTTTGTGAAAAGATGATTATACTTGGTTGTACTTCAGTCGTCGACTAATTGTAACTGTACCTGGATGGTGGACATTTGTAAATATACCTGGACGGCGGACAGTTGTAAATGTGCCTGGACGGTGGACTGTTGTAAATGCACCTGGATGGTTCACAGTTGTAAATGTACCTGGACGGTGGACAGTTGTAAATGTACCTAAATGGCGGACAGTTGTAAATGTACCTGGACGATGGACAGTTGCAAAAGTACCTGAATGGTTGACACCTTTAAATGTTTCTGGACGGTGGACTGTTGTAAATTTACCTGGACGGTGGACTGTTGTATATGTTCTTGGACAGTGGACAGTTGTAAATGTACCTGGACGGTGGACAGTTGTAAATGTACCTGAATGGTTGACACCTGTAAATGTTCCTGGACGAAGGACTGTTGTAAATTTACCTGGACGGTGGACAGTTGTAAATGTGCCTGGACGGTGGACAGTTGTAAATGTACCTGAATGGTTGACACCTGTAAATGTACCTGGACGATGGACCATTGTAAATGTACCTGACCGTGGACCGTTGTAAATGTGCATGGATGGTGGACCGTTGTAAATGTACTTGGACGGTGGATACGGGTAAATGTACCTGGACGGTGGACAGTTGTAAATGTACCTGGACGGTGGACCATTGTAAATGTGACAGAATGGTGGACCGTTGTAAATGTACTTGGACGGTGGACCATTGTAAATGTGACAGGATGGTGGACCGTTGTAAATGTACTTGGATGGTGGATACTTGTAAATGTGACAGGACGGTGGACTGCTGTAAATGTACCTGGACAGTGACAGTTGGAAATGTACCTGAATGGTTGACACCTGTAAATGTACCTGGACGGTGGACTGTTGTAAATGTTCCTGGACGGTGGACTGTTGTATATGTACCTGGACGGTGGACAGTTACAAATGTACCTGAATGTTTGACACCTGTAAATGTTTCTGGACGGTGGACCATTGTAAATGTGACAGGATGGTGGACCGTTGTATATGTACTTGGACGGTGGATACGTGTAAATGTACCTGGACGGTGGACTGTTGTAAATGTACCTGGACGGTGGACCATTGTAAATGTGACAGGATGGTGGACCGTTGTAAATGTACTTGGACGGTGGACAGTTGTAAATGTACCTGGACGGTGGACTGTTGTAAATGTACCTGGATGGTGGACAGTTGTAAATGTACCTGGACGGTGGACAGTTGTAAATGTACCTGGATGGTGGACAGCTGTAAATGTACCTGGACGGTGGATTGTTGTAAATGTTCTTGGACGGTGGACAGTTGTAAATGTACCTGGACGGTGGACAGTTGTAAATGTTCCTGGACGGTGGACTGTTGTGGTAAATGTACCTGACGGTGGACGTTGTAAATGTTCCTGGACGGTGGACTGTTGTAAATGTACCTGGACGGTGGACAGTTGTACTGTAAATGTTCCTGGACTGTTGTAAATGTACCTGTTGTAACCTGAATGGTGGACAGTTGTAAATGTTTGATACCTGTAAATGTTTCTGGACGGTGGACCATTGTAAATGTGACAGGGTGGTGGACCGTTGTATATGTACTTGACGGTGGATACCTAAATGTACCTGGACGGTGGACAGTAAATACCTGGACGGTGGACAGTTGGACGGTGGACTGTTGTAAATGTACCTGGACGGTGGACAGTTGTAAATATACATGGATGGTGGACAGTTGTACCTGGATGGACTGTTGTAAATGTACCTGAATGTAAATGTACCTGGACAGTGGTTGGAAATGTACCTGAATGGTTGACACCTGTAAATGTGTCTGGACGGTAGACTGTTGTATATGTACCTGGACGGTGGACAGTTACAAATGTACCTGAATGTTTGACACCTGTAAATGTTTCTGGACGGTGGACCATTGTAAATGTGACAGGATGGTGGACCGTTGTATATATACTTGGACGGTGGATACGTGTAAATGTACCTGGACGGTGGACAGTTGTAAATGTACCTGGACGGTGGACCATTGTAAATGTGACAGGATGGTGGACCGTTGTAAATGTACTTGGACGGTGGACCATTGTAAATGTGTCTGGACGGTGGACAGTTGTAAATGTACCGGGACGGTGGACAGTTGTAAATGTACCTGGACGGTGGATACCTGTAAATGCACCTGGACGGTGGACTGTTGTAAATGTACCTGGACGGTGGACCGTTGTAAATGTGTCTGGACGGTGGATACGTGTAAATGCACCTAGACGGTGGACAGTTGTAAATGTTCCTGGACCATGGGCAGTTGTAAGTGTACCTGGACAGCGGAAACCTGTACCAAAACGATTAAGGGTCTATCGAACAGATTAGATACACTTTCGTTTTCAGTTTCTGCATGATAGAAATACTAATAGTCGTACAGCAACAGTAACCAATCACATTTACAAATTGCCGTACATGCAGCCTCTTGCTTTGTAACCGCCTAGTTTACGCAGACTTTTGTCACCCACGTCAACTTTCCTAGTTACCATTGTCTTTGGTCGGTTTATATTTTTTAGTTGCATCTTTTTATGTTAGTATTGTTCTAATTTTGTTTTAAGTCCTAGCCCCCTATGCATTGTGGAGGGACTTGAGAATCTGATTTGTTTCAGTTTGTAATGTACAACCGATCCCTACATAACTTGACGACCAATTATAGGCGTTATCCTCGAACACGTGTACATTTTATTAACTAACACAAATGGGTATTTGGCAACATGATGGTAAATGTTTTTAACGATTTTAAATCGTTACGATTTGGGTGTTCTCACGCTGCAACTGTGTTGCATGCTACAAGTTGTTACTACAAGTCGCACTGTGAGAACGCACCTTAATACACACTCAGTGATGGAAACTACCGGTCGCCAGATCGCCAGATGCGAGTAAGTTTTTAAAAAATGTGAATGTATGTCTCCAGTCAAAGAATTACTTGGCAACTAGAATGATCTATAGATGTCAAATAAAATTTACATTAAATTATATAATTTTTAAAATGATTTTATCACTTGTCAGTTGCATATATAAATCGCGACCACATGAAACATCGGAAAACGTGCGAGTTGTTGACGCTTACCTGTGCCTTACACAAAACGTGTTACAATTTTACGCTTGTTTAGGTCAAGGTGAAAGTATTTTCAAGTTGAGTTTAAACTTGGAGAAGATTTGGTTCGCAGAGACTCTAAACGTGTCTACAACACCAAATTTGTATTAAACATTTTACTACATATGCATAGATTCAAACCTGTCTCGTGAGTGTTGACATTTTGTTTTTTTAACCCAAGCTCACTAGCGTAATGACCCAACGAATGGACGTGGAAACATTGTTTCTTTCCACTACTATATCAAGAACGGTTTACATGCAGTTACTGTTCACCTGATCACTGGGACATTTACTTGGTGCCCACTTGAGGTGTAATATGCACCACCTTCGTAGAATTGTCGTAGCGTTGTCGTAGCGTTGCTGTGGCGTTGTCGTAGCGTTGTTGCAGCGTCGTCGTAGCGTTGTCGTGTCGTTGTTGTACCACTGTCGTATCGATGTTGTAGCACTGTGGTAGCGTTGTCGTTGGATCTTCGTAGCGATATAAGTGTCTGTACACGAACACTCACGTTTCCAAACACCGAAACGCACGTTATTCACAGGGACATACGCTGCCTAAAGCGTCTGTCTTAGAACAAGTCTTGGAACCAGTTTTGTTACAAAGGGGCTGTGGGGTAGCGTAATGGTTAAAGCCTCCGCTCGTCACGCTGAAGACCTGGGTTCGATTCCCCATATGGGTACAATGTGTGAAGCCCATTCCTGGGGTACCCTGCCGTGATATTGCTGGAATATTGCTTAAAGCGGCTTAAAACCATACTCACTCACTCATCGTTTCAAACATGAGTTCAGAATAATAATATACCGAATCAGAGATGCATATTTCCCCTCGTCCTGGCGTGTTTCAACTGTAATCCCTCAAGATATATTGTTTCTAGATAGTGTTTGACCTGCTTTTTCTCAGTACATTTTGTGATGCATTTATGTACTTGGTATGTATTTAGGAATGCGTTACAATACTTATATTCCATCAAGACGAAAAGAACACCGCTCAAGTTATACCACTCTTTAGTTTCGGCGATGAATATGAAATGTTTCTGGTGGACATCCCCTGCCAATGCGTCAGATATGCAATCAGCACAGTGTGTCAGCCTGTTCGGGAAATGCCTCACCAGGTCAGCACATGCTAACCTAGTGTCTAGCACACTTGTAATCCCCACGCATGGGGTAACTGTATCACCAGGATGACAGCCGTATGTGTGTCACCTGCAGCACGATATTTATAGCTCCTCAATATTGGGGATTGCGTGAAGCCGGTGGCATTGACAGATAAGAACCTTCTTGTCCTCGTCGCCACTGCAGCGACGTTACGTGGGCGAGTAAATAGGACTCAAGCAATATTGCAGCAATAGCTCACAGTAAGTCCAAGTGGCGAATCGAACCCAAACCCCGGTGTGAACGGTGAGGCTTTTCGGCCACCCAACAGCCCTGCCACCTTGAACCAGGAACGCCGTAAGAAGTATTTCAAATGTTTTGAATTACAATCAAATTAGTAAGTGTGTGAGAACGTTGCGTCTGGCGCCAAATTTCACAATATTTCTGCAATATCATGCCAGGGGAAAACAGAATTAGACTCGCACTTTATACCATGTCGTAACTCGAACCTGGACCACCGTCGTGGCGGGCAAACGCCTTAAACCTGGAATACGGGGTAACGGGGTAGGAGGTTACTATGACAACTACAGGGGCATTATTCCATTGCTAGTCAATAGGGAAACAGGATTACATTGGAGATGATAAGAAGCTGCGATCTGATCTCCAACCACGGCTTTAACTCCCCTCTCAATATCATTTTGCAGATGACGGTCGACTTAGCGATGTAATGGCGGCACGAGAGCGAAGTCGAGAGACTCCATATCAGGATTTTACAAGGATTAAAAACGCCGTGTTTATCCGCCGAGCCGCAAGGGGACATTTGGACCGAGATGATCTCTTCACCGACCCTTCCTTCCCACCGGATTGGTCGTCCTTGACCTACGTGTATAGCGGGGATGACAAATATGAAAGAACCGTTTTCAAGAGACCCACGGTGAGATATTGTCATTGTCATGTTCACACCTACAGTTTCATTGTTTTCATTATTGCGAAAATGCCCTTAGCAACGCATTATCTATTTCTCGTAAATCTCGATGGCTCTAGTCTTTCAGAATTAATTCGCCAGGGACACATAAACCGTAATTACTCGTAGCTCGTAGGTCAGTCTCTAATTCCAGTTGCAGAGGGGGTATTTAAGAACTCACCGTTAATAATGCCCTGGGTAAGGCGAGGTGGAATGGGGTTAAATATCGCTTTTAAGATTCTTGCACATATATACAACGACGTGCATACACAGGCGCGCGTGAACAGGTGCGTGCGTGCGTGCGTGCGTGCGTGCGTGAGTGAGTGTTTCTAGTTGTACTACTATGAAGGTATTATCAATGTGTGATCCATATTTTAAACACTGTTTTGCCTGTTACAAAGTATTTTGTTTTGGCAGTTTAGCAGTTATGGTGATTCTCTCTCGTAGACAATCTGTTCTTATAGTGCTAGCCCATCGACGTACCATGTCGCACTGTAACAAATATACCATCAGGCACAGTATTCCAAGCTGACCAGCTTGTAGACTAAGGCTTAGTCTCTGAATATATATAATTTTTATAGTAACAAACAAGCCCATTTATATTGAAAAGGAGCCCCAGGGAGACCAGAGATTCAGAACCTGAGGAAGTCTAGACTTGCTTTATTTAGCACTGCAGAGAGGGCTTGGCAGTAGGGAAATGAATGTGGTTCAGGGACTGTGAGACAGACTAATCAGCTTGTTTCATCCCATCCTGTCGAGCGCCATGTAAGAAAACAAGCATTATCTCTTGACGGGGTGGAGGTCTGTCTACTGGATCAGTTTCGCAGTGTTTCAGGCTGGCTCTCGTAATGCTATGTTCAAACTATCACGTTTCGCGCCACGACTAAAATCGTGGTCGTAATCGTGGACTAATCGTGGTGATCCTATCAGATCTTATCAGATCTTGAGGTCAGTCGTGGCAATCGTGTTAATCGTAGAAACATTTTGGACGGTTCAAAATTTTTCTACGATCAACACGATTGATTGTCAATCGTAATCATCGCATCAGATCGTACTGAATCGTAACAAAGCGCAACATATCGCGTCTAATTGTGCTTCCAAATCGTGGTGATCGGAATCAATCGTGCTTGTAGGCTGTAGTGTTCACTCTGTTGAAGTTCAAGAAACAGTGAAGTCCATGGTCAGTCGGGCTGTATATATTTATCCGTCGGGGTCCAATCGTAGCTCAACTCGTGATCAGCTCGGTCGTGATCGTGAAAGAAATCGCGACCACAATTGCATCGTATCGCAACAGAGTGCATCGGTTCGTGATGAACGTATCGGAACGTACCTGCACGTACCAGATCGTCCCAAATCGGGGACCCCCATCGTGATGATCATGTCAGATCGCGACCCAATCGTGAACTCAATCGGGACACTCTTATCACAACGTATGTGATCGAATCTGAATGGGAGAACAGATCGTGACACTAGCGCATCCTAGCGCACCAAATCGTATCAAAACGCATCGACTCGCATCACCGCGCATCCAAACCAAACATTTCAGAGAAGTTCCACGATCAGCTACGAATGGCCAATCGTGGCATTCGTAACGAATCGTGCGACAGTGTGAACCTAGCATTATGGACTGTGGGTTATATACATCTGCATGTCATTGCTCAAATATTGAATCCAAAGCGTTCACCAGTGACGGCTAATCTGGTCTAAATTTAAGCATCGTTCATTGAGCAGTGAATGAGCAACGTCTTTTAGCAATATTCCAGCAATTTCACGTCGTGGGAGAACAGAAATGGGTTTCACATAAAAATGTGTTAGTGACGAGCGAACGCTTGAACCACTAGTAGGCACCCCACCGTATTTCATTTATACCACGGCGTGTCAGGGAAGATACGCCACGGATAGACATGTCTTGGACGTTTACCATTTTACGGAGACTATCGGTATTGTGCGGCCAAACTTCAAAGCATAATCAGGGCGGACGGGGGTCCGACCTACTATCATAGGCTTCTGGCACACCCAGGGGGCATAACTCTGCAATGTAAAATCCGGGCCCACAGAGTGTTGAGTCAGGTCAACAGTTATACGTATGTGACCTGTTCATCTGTTTCCGATAGGCCTTGTTTTCAGTATGAACTATTTGAAAGGACAGAACAGGATTGCTCTTATGGAGCCTCAACTTTGGAAGTGATTGAAAAACTCACTGTTTTCCAATATGATAAACGTCTGTTGATGTGATAAATCACGAATATAATCTGATCCATATTCGATTTTATAATAAGGTGGAACTTCCGGGTCCAAAACTAAGCCTCTGTTGTCGGTAATAAGAATGACAATCCCCATAAGTAAACCATTAAAAATCGGTCACAAAGCTTTAGATGTCCTTAAACAGAAAATATATCGCAGAGATAACATTAACCGTTCCTCGATCAGGGCTGGACTAAACAAGAAGAGACCCAAGCAAGGCTGAAGCACCTATAAATGTTGACGTTATTATGAAGCTATACAGGTGTACTTAAGGGCAGGTGCGTCATCCGTGTTGTTTGACGTGAGATTGGTTTTATGATGCTACGATCTCGCAAGTGTGCTAGTCGGTCACGTTTGACGTTGTACCAGAGGAGCGTACGTCAGCTGATGTTAACACAATCTCCCCAGCTTGTATGAGACATTAAACCAGCGTTCAAAACCCGAACGGTTTTTCAAATATTAACACAAAAGTCATCTAACGAAAACGAGAACCACGCTCCTCTACATCTTTCATTATCATATACATTGTGTACTTGAGCGCGCACTGTCTCAAGCAACGTATGATCTTAAGCAGTGTATGTTGGTGAATATAGGCCTACACTGATGACTATATGCAGTTAAGTAGTCATTGCTTAAAACCTGCAGAAAAATGAAATCAACAATAAAACCATTCATGCTAATATCTTTGTTGAGTCGTCAGGTGGTAAATGCATCATTGGAATGGTTTAAGTTGCAGTCAGGGAAGGTAACCCTAAACTCACTGACGCCTGTTCTTATAGTTTGTGAGAGTACATATCATTTATGAGTGAGTGAGTTACATTTAAGTCCGCTTCCCGCGATATTCCAGTCCTATCACAGCTTGTCGGCTTTGAGTAGCAGGAAAACCAGAAATGATTAAGGCCTCTGACGTTCACTACTTTGAGGAAACTCATGAGCTCGGTAAAGGTACTGACAAACGAAAAGAACACCAAGGACGAACCAGGGCGCCGTTCCTCAAAGCGATCATACCGCTACGACAGTCGGAAGTCTATGTTAAACTATGGAAGTTACGGTCATCTTAGCGCTACGATCGCACTGTGGAACGAGGCTCAGGTTCCGAGCTTACATAGCTTTCAATCTTTCCCAAGCGACGCAACTCTGCAAAGCGAATATGGTAACCTTGAATTTATTACTAGTAATCAAACTTCGTGGAGTTGCCATGTTTATTTTTCTGATTACTGACCAAAGCTGCGGACGAGGCGGGATGCATTTTGGACAATTTGGAAAAGTGAAATCTGCAGGGGCAAACCTAGTGGCTGAAAGCAAGAAAGGATCCACCCAACTACTGATATTCTTAGTCATTAGTGAGTGGGTGGGTGGGTATGTGGATGAGTGAGTGAGTGTTATATAAAAGGGGGACATCAATATTGGAGACATATTTTTCTCATTTTTGGAATCGAATCAGGGTCTTCGCATGGTGAGCAACACTTCATCCACTGGGCTCACCATCCGAACGTTATTACCACAGAGATGGACTAGACAGATGTTTACTAAACACGACACGTCCACACGTCGACGTTTTGGACATCGGGGCACTATCCACATATTGTTTCAGTCTACAGAGGCTGTATCTAGGGTTACAATGATTTTCAGACCAGCACAGACCAAATGTAATTACGCCAGTTCACAAACGAACCAGGGGGCAACTCCATTAAGCTGGTTTAATGGGATCAAACATTAGCGTTCTCCTTGCACGCCAGGTACCATAGCAGGGCTTTTCACCTGTCGAATTACCTCGTAGTTTGTAGTTTAATCCGTGATCACTAATTTTTGATTCCCTTGGTTTGTTGTATGACTTGTTTCAGCGGAGTACAAAGCACGTCGTGTCCTTGTAGGGCTAATTAGTAGACAGACTGACGTTTTAATACTTCCCCGGCATTATAAGGCTAATCAGAGCCAGAGGACAACGCAAATCCGGACGCACCGTACATTCATGTGTATTAACAATTCAGACGTTGATTTTCCATACTGGATTTTTCACAGGGCAATTTCAAAGAAAAATAGTTTTGAAGGCGTTACATGTAGTAATGAATACCCAATCTGATTTCCTTACTAAAGAGTCTCCACTTAAATTAATGTAGGAGTGAGTGTGTTCGTATGAGATTATGTGTAATTAGTGACTGTTTGTGGGCTCGTTTATGTGATGTTAGATGAGAGGATAACCATGAGTATCGATCTACGCAATTGGGAGCCTGGTCACCCGATCCCGACAAGCATGAGTTGGGTATTTTATATGTTTTTGTATTTGTTCGTTTGTGAGTTTATATGATATTCGTGAGTATATGTAATATGACTCTCTCTCTCTCTTGCTCTCTCTCTCTCTGTGCATGTCATAATAGCTGATGTTATATTAACATTTGCGAGTGTGTGTACTTTAATGTGATGCTAATCTACATGTATGAGTGAGTGAGTCATTTGGATTTATAAGTAGGTTGCTGCAGAATTCGCATTGGAGTAACTGCTATCCACTCAAGTGGGACCTTGAATTACCCAAAATGTACTGAAGTCTCCGCCTTGACTAACCCAGGTTTGTCACTACGTCAATAATGCAAACAGATATGTTTGGTGTTAGTAATGAAACTACTGCCGACAATTCTCCCCGTATGCAACGTAGCACTCTTAATAATGCATATGGAATGTGAAATAAGACACGTTACGTATCTGCCTTAGCGAACAAAACAGAGTGGGTCCTAAAGTGGGAATGACGACGCAGAGTCACTTCCCTTTGCTCTACTGGGCTACTTTGAGTTTTTCTCATGGCTGAGTGAGTGAGCGATGTTGTACCAGTATTCGGGGAATCGAACCTGGATCTTCGGGATTTCGAGCGAACGCTTAAACCACTGGGCTACCCCCGCCGCCCAAGATTCATTACTATTCGGACTGAGAGAAAACAAATCATTGCAGATACGTAAACGATACACAGACGAAATGACAGCTGAAGTAGGATTCAGTTAGAAATGACTGCACTTAGATCTATTTAGCGACGTGCGTGCATGTTTGTGTATGTAAATGTAAGTGTGCGCGCGTGCGTATGTGCGCGCGTGTGTGTAAATCATGCACATCGGTCGTTACCAGAGCACTACACTAGAAAAACGCTTGTATCCAAGGCAGCATCTTACGAGAGGATTAGTATCATCAAACTGCCAAGCTGTGTATAGGGTTGCATATATAAACAAGTTCCGGGTAGATTTTACGGACACTTCACCGACATAGTTGAAGTTCATGTGTGGTTCAATTATTATCCGTATACTGATTGATTAGGCATGGCGTTGTTTCAAATGACATTCACTGACACTTCCCTGGCTGAAAGAAAACCTGTTCCTTGACAAGCTGGACAACAGGTAGGCTTTCTTAAGTCATTTAGATTTATAAGTAGGCTGCTGCAGAATTCGCATTGGAGTAACTGCTATCCACTCAAGTGGCACCTTGAATTACCCAAAATGTACTGAAGTCTCGCCTTGACTAACCCAGGTTTGTCACTACGTCAATAATGCAAACAGATATGTTTGGTGTTAGTAATGAAACTACTGCCGACAATTCTCCCCGCACTAACTCAACAAAGTTGTCAATAACGCTTCTCCGTGGCAACGATTAATTCCATGCATATGTAGACACCATAAATGTCCGTTATGGGATTCGAACCACGAACTTTCTGATCCGATGCCGTTCTGTGCACGTGGCCAAAAAGGGCAACCCAGACAGCAAAACAGTCAGACACAGGTTTCATTAGTCTGTCGCACAGACCCTAAAACAAATACACACAATGCAGCGAATGCAAGTCTAGAATACTAGTATGTGGCAAATCTAGATTGCTATAGTTTTTGTAAATGAAGAAAGTATCTTGGCTCGTTTTTAATATATACTACCCATCAAAAGTTGAGACTTAAAGCACTCACTATATGTTATGTATATATGTATGGTTACATCGAAGATGAATTTCTCCACAAACCGAAAACCTTATGCAGATGAATTGCACGAGGATCATGCATCAAATTGCTGTAAGGCATGTGCAAATATCATGCATGTGAACAGCTGCGTTTTGGTGTAAAGTTTTGTTACGTATTCGTTAATTTTCACTGAGTTTCATCATTTATTGAACTCATGACAATAATCTTTTCAACGTTACAAATACTTTTTACAATACAATAGTTCATGTGTAAACAGTACCTCAGGGAACCAGTATGGAAAGTTTTGCACAATATATTTTAGAACAGTTGACTTCAGTAAATGGCTTCATTTACGCTACAAGTCAATACATTGATTACACAACAGTCTCGTTGCCTGTTGACTGGGTTCCATCCTATTGCGCAACTTAGTACAATAACCAGTCCAGAATTTTGAGACCAATTTATTTAACTGGATACTAAAAATATTAATCAGTATTATTTGATACATCTGAGCACTTGTATATTGCAACACTACGCTCCTTATAATCCTTGCAAACATGTCGTGCAGCGTGCTCTGTCGTACAGCGAACACTGACAAACAGAAACCTGGAAATCGTGGAAATCTCGAAACGAAGCTTTGTCGCTAGAAAAGTTTGGCGGTCTGGTACGGACTTGATATTATATCAATTACATTGTGCGTTACAGAACTACTCTGAATAAGCTCAAGAATCACATATAGTCATGTCATTGGGGAATGAAAAGAGTTGGCAAAAGGTTCCTGTCCTTGTACGTGATGAAATTGTATCAATATAAGACATTGATCGTTCATTCTATTTCATTATTATTTGGAATGACTATTGTTTGAAACATATTCATCTCAATATTTGTTCATGTTAACAATTGTCACACAATTTAAAAATGAAAGTTTTGGCATAATCGTAGCATAAATATGCATGTGAATGTCGGAAATACGTTTTTCATATTTTTGGGAATGTTTTTTTTAATAGAACAATATGATGAGACTAATCCCTTTTAAACCATATATTTCTGAAAAGCCTGTAATCTGAGCTTTAATTTGATATATAACATGACACAATTGAGTTGATTGCAAAAAGGTTTGCATTTCTATCTAAGATTTCGAAAGTGAAGATGAGCCCTATGACCTTGAAGGTCGAATTTGACCTTGTTCCACCTCTGAGATTTTCCTAGACTTTTTATATGTTATAAAGGAATGGTTCAGGATCTTAAAAAAGTTGTAATCATTTCTGTTGCAATTTGTGGTGGGTGTTCTCATAAATTGACTGGACTAATAACAGGTGTAACAAGTGAGCCAGATGACTTGTGAATCATTTTACCTCATCAAACTGGGGCAGTCTGTGACGTCTTAGTTAAGGTCACGCTGCCTCCACCGCGCCATAAAAAATAGAAATACGATGTTATTTAAGTTTAAAATTAAAATTCATTTGTAAATACCACTTTCTTATGAAACATGGAATTGGAATTCAGTGTAACCATAGTTGTTTGTGATGTCTATTTTCACTTTCACCCGGGAAAAGTCGGATCGGCTGAAAAGTAGGTCATTGTCTGAATAGGCTAATGAGACTCATGTTTTCTGATTGACCAAAATACTGTTCATTACAGCCTGTGCATGTTATGACATATATTATGTTTTTGCAAGAGCAGTCAAAATTCTGTTTTACATAGAATTCTCCGTGTCTCGTGAAAGTTACAGAGTGTCCTTCAACAATATGTCGACACGTTCCACAGTTACCTCTGTTGCATCTAGACACAGTAGGATTTGATAAATTCTGTTTCTTAAAATAAATTTGGCTTTTGTTAGTATCTTTTTAAGATTCTGATTTTGTCTTTTGCTATTTATTATTTTTCTAGATTTCAGCATTGATTTCAGTTTTTCATCTTGTTCTAAGATGCACATATTTGTTTTTATGTTCTGGAACACATTTGGGTTCAACGGATTATAAGTAGATACAAAAGCAATTACTTTTTCCTCATTGGTTTGTTTCATCGTTCCTGTCAAGAGATCTTCTCTATTAAGCTGTAAAGCTTTATATATTCCGTCTTCAACAAGAGATTTTGGATATTCCCGTAATAGTAAAAACGTCCTAAGTTCATTCAGTCTTTGATTGCGGGTGTCTTGGTTTGAAACTATTGTACATATTCTTCGTGCCAGGTTATATGGAAGACTTCTTTTGGTGTGGCTCGGATGACAAGATTTGAAGTTTAAATATTGTTTCGTATCTGTAGGTTTGTAGAATATATCTGTGTCCAATTTCCACCCCGATTTGATGACCATTGTGTCTAAGAAAGCTGTTTCAGTTTCATCTGCCTCCATAGTGAAAACACGATTTTCGTCCATGCTATTTAATAGTTCGTAAAATGTATTTAGTTTCTCCTCAGAAAATGGCCAAATTATGAAGCAAAAGAAGTCTTCCATATAACCTGGCACGAAGAATATATATATTACTCATGAAAGGACTTGTATAATGATGTATGGCAAAGGAGGATAGAAAAGGCTTGTAATGATATGCTTGTAATGGCATGCTTGTTAGGTGCACTTGCACAACATGTCCAGACTTCTTCGTGACCAGGTGAGAGGATCCCATCTATCAGAATTACACTAAACCTTCTGTTTATCCCTCTACCAGGTACAGGGTAATTCCCATCCCGATCTATTGTCGATGTTATCATCTCTGAAAAATTCCGCATGGTTAACTAATATGAAAAACAAGAACTTTTATTACATTTTTTAATTATTTCTTCTGATCGGCGGATCTGTTGATCCAGTAATACACATTTAAATAACAACGCTGTATTGTCTCCAGTCATATGGCTCCCTGCTAGAGTCGCACGGAACCTAATGACTGTCCGTCTCTATCAGGTAATTGCACAGGTGGGTATCGATTGAAGATTACACCTGACCGAGGATCGTTAATCCTTTGTCCGCTAATTGAATTTGGGTTCAGTGTCCCCGAAATAGATAACGTTTTCTTCAAAATGTATCAGGTGTAAAAAGCAGCCGTTGTAGACAACTCGACATCAGGTGGCAGCTTTAATGAGATTGTTTATGCCAAACCTCTGTACTTCAAGCTTGATAAGTGGATTATTATCTCTGATGGATTAGGTATTGGGCTAAGCTGTATAACGAGGTCTCCACTAGTAGAGGTGACCATAGACAATGCAACGTAGCACTCTTAATAATGCATATGGAATGTGAAATAAGACACGTTACGTATCTGCCTTAGCGAAAAAAACAGAGTAGGTCCTAAAGTGGGAATGACAACGCAGAGTCACTTCCCTTTGCTCTACTGGGCTACTTTGAGTTTTTTCTCATGGCTGAGTGAGTGAGCGATGTTGTACCAGTATTCGGGGAATCGAACCTGGATCTTCGGGATTTCGAGCGAACGCTTAAACCACTGGGCAACCCCCGCCGCCCCAGATTCATTACTATTCGGACTCAGAGAAAACAAATCATTGCAGATACGTAAACGATACACAGACGAAATGGCAGCTGAAGTAGGATTCAGTTAGAAATGACTGCACTTAGATCTATTTAGCGACGTGCGTGCACGTTTGTTTATGTAAATGTAAGTGTGTGAGTGTCTGTGTGTGCGCGCGTGTGTGTAAAACATGCACATCGGTCGTTACCAGAGCACTACACTAGAAAAACGCTTGTATCCAAGGCAGCATCTTACGAGAGGATTAGTATCATATCAAACTGCAAAACTGTGTATAGAGTTGCATATATAAACAAGCTAATGTGTCGTCTTACAGGAAATATGCGAACAACCTACATTTATCGGCGTTGGTGGTGTGATTGACGAGCCGTTCCCATGGAAACAGTGGCGACAACGAGGCTGGTTCCAGGCGGCGGTGATTATCATTTCGCTCAACGTCAGGTTTCTGGACAGACTCATCCCGGGCTATAAAGTCTTCGAACAGAACTTCGATTCTGATTATATTGGTGAGTCGATGGATGAAAAGAGAAAAAGTGTTTGCTGCTGCCGAATCAGTTGACAAATGTTAATCTATGCATGCACATTCGTCACCACTCAACCCTTTCAGCAACCTTGTCCGAAAATGAGACGAGGAATGCAATCGTCATCACTCGCCTCTTTCCGTAACCTGCGCCATTCGAGATGTCCAAGAATGACATGAGTTGGTCACGAATGGAATGAATTTCATTTCAGAAAATAAGAACTTTTGTGCATAATTTCAGTCATACAACCTAAGGCACATTTGACTATTCGACACTCGGAAATTTGCACGCGTCAACAAACACGGAAGTTCATTGAAATGCGTAATTTGTCCATCATTGTTTCTTATATCCACCTCAGGATAAGGTTCCGGAAATGTTGCTTACCCTATGGCTGTCGTACGTCTAACGTTCTCGTACCTTTCGCTGAAGCATGAAGATTGTTTGCACACATATGTGCCAATCTTATTAAAAGCAGACCATTTTCTTCGATACGATACATCTCCGGGTTAAATCTGACAACATCTCAATAGAAACTCGTCAGGCGCGCAGCAAGCCAATTCTTTCGTGCAAGCCCTATAGTGAATGAGTTTAGTTTTACGCCGCACTCAGCAATATTCCAGCTATATGGCGGCGGTCTGTAAATAATCGAGTCTGGACCAGACAATCCACTGATCAATAACATGAGCATCGATCTGCGCAATTGGGAACCGATGACATGTGTCAACCAAGTCAGCGAGCCTGACCACCCGATCCCGTTAGTCGCCTCTTACGACAAGCATGGGTTACTGAACGACAATATTCTCACCCGGACCTTCACGGGTCGCAAGCCCTATAGGTTGGAAAGTTTTATATCTAGATAGTATTTAGGGCTTGCCCAACCTCTTTAGCAACAATCATGCGTGAGCTCGGGCTTTTTTTTTATGTAATGGTTGCTACGCCCCTGCTCATGTCTTCTGAATGATGCGCGACTTTGGACTGCTCTGTCTATTAATTCCATCTTTTCGGGTTTTACAAATTCGAACACCCACACATCTTCCCTTGACCATATTTCCCTTTTTTGGTGTAGATGCCGCAACGCACACAAACAACTGTATGTTTTAGTAGATTTTCGAGACACAAATTATCAGAAATGCTTGTTTGAATGTTTCACCCAGCCGTAACGAGAATTTGGAAGCCTGAGCGCTGATTGGAAAGTTCACATGACGAGGCGATGTCCTCATGCTGATCTTCACGCTGATTTTGATTGTATGCGTTCATTCTGCGTGTATTTCTGATCACGACACGGGATGGCCTCCATTTTATTTGTATGTATTCAACAAAATATTTCTTTACTGATCACCTTCAAACAATCCATTTATTTTCACAATTTACAGAACAGTTTTTACTGGGTATTGAATTATCAATTATTTGCATATTTCTTAGCAAGCTATTCATTAAAAATCTAACCTCTCTTGAAATCAAATAGATGCTGAATTCTTGTAAACGACCGCGATGTGTTAAACCAAATTCCCTCACTCACTGTTGCAGGTGCATTCCGATTTACCATGTGGCGGTTTACGGAATGGGTGGAGATTATTATAGACGACCACCTGCCGATGCTTGACCACGCCCACTTCTTCTGTAAGGTCATCGGTGCCCCGTCCGAATACTGGGGAGCTCTGGCGGAGAAGGCCTATGCCAAGTGAGGATGTGGTGTTGTCGACATTTCGTTATTTCATGGTTTCCATAAACTATGCCATGAATGAACAACAGCTGAATATGGCATGTGCAGATATCATATGATGTTCGTTAAAACGAAGAAAGCCTTGAATGTTTTATAAGACAACGTGGTGTTGAGGGTTTGCTTTGACCAAGTCCAATATAAAGATAGAGAGACAAACATAATGACAATGGTATGAAACAACAATTGATATCGATGCCCTTTGACCCTCACCTCACAACAGCTTCTCCCTCGTATACGTCCAAGTCAAAAGGAATTCGTAAATCTACTCATCATTATAAGAAAGTTGGGACTTTTTCGTACCCTGAGCTTTACAAACTCCGTTGCAGGTGTAAGAAGACGTTCCAGGCCATTGAGTATGGCAACATGCTGGACGCACTCACCGACCTGACCGGCTGCGTCTGTGAGTACTACACACCCGACGTGAACCCAGCCGACAACCTCTTCCACATCATGTACAAGTCCAGCATCAATAGGTCCATGATGGTGTGCTGGCGGAACGACAAGAGGCTCACTTCCACTGGCTTTGATTTAGAGGAAAGTCAGAAAGTGAGAAAAAAACGAGTTAATATTTTACATTTCCCCCGTATAATAATAGAATGGTGTATTATGTGGTTAAGGTGTTACACAATTAAGCGTGAATCCAGGTAACAGATGATTCATATCCACAAACCCCCGTTCGGGTACAGTGACAGCCATGCGGTAGGCCTTCCTGGATTTTTACATCAAAGTAGCAGAGTTGGATAGATGACTGGAGGTGAGGTGAAATGGGGTTTAACGTCGTTCTTAAGATTATTTCGCTAAAATGACGACGTACATGCGTGTGTATGTGCGGCTGCTGGTACTAGCACAGACTTAAGCTGATTTTATAGTGCTAGCTCACTGAAATACCAGGCCGCACTTAAGCATGAATACCCCAATCAGACACATTATACTGACCCCGAGCCGACCAGTCCTTGTTATACCCATTAATGCCGAGCGCCAGGTACAACAAGTACCAACGTCTTTTGGTATGTCGCGGCCGGGGATCGAACCCGCGACCTTCCGCTCTCCTTGCGGCCGCTCTAACCACTACAACACGGAGGCGGTCATAGATGACTAGAACGGTCACTAGACAGTTGGATAGATGACTAGAACATGCACTAGACAGTTGGATAGTTTACTAGAGCGGTCAGTATACAGTTAGAGAGATGACACATAACCACTTTAATTGTTACTGTTTCTGTCTCCAAATACCAATGCACAGAGTTATGTTGCACTGAAAGGAAAGGAACACAAGTTAGCTTGTATGATGGTGGTTTTGTTTCTAGTTATGTACGCGATGTAACGTAGTGATAGAACATGTACGATGTCAGTGTCCCTTGCAGGCGGACAACGACTACGACGAACATACGACGGAGGAACGGCATTTCCTGCATCTCATCACAGCCACGACAAAGGTAGGCACATGTATGTGGTCTCCCTGGACGTGTTCTTGGTCGATTTTTTTTCATCAATGGCCACAGGGTATCTGGTCGTATAATCCTGGGTTCGAACCTATATTTTCCCTGAGTATGGGTATTATTTCCTTTTTATCATCCAAAACGGGCTCCCACAGTAGATATCGCTTTTGTGAGATCAAGTGGTATCTACATTGTAGATATCGCAACAATTGAACTGTCATAATGCTATTACCTCACAATGCTTTGACATCACTTAGGACACAGCTGACAATGCTATGAAGTCACGAAGTTGATGACCTCACAATGCTATGATGTCATAAAGCTGATGACGTCACAATGCTATGACCTCACTAAGATCACTGCTAATGGCAGTTTTGTGTTAAGATAAATTCATTCTTTTACTGACAACTAATGAAGAATGATTTTGGATGATAAATACAGTGTCACCTTTGTGTCTTCTGATATCCAATATCGGTAAGCCTCGGATATTCGTAACTTAAATCAACTTGTTTTGATATATTTGATATCAGAAGACACTTGGGTGAGATTCTCTATTTAGCACCATATCTGTGGTGATAGAATTTAGCAAAGTGGGGATTCCGATCTGAAATAATAAGTCTGTTTTATAGATCTATAGTTTGTGTATAAAGCTCATTCCAGATAGTGCATAAGGTGAAGACTATAGCTTGGAATGGTAGCAAAGATACATAGACAAGAAGGTACAGAAATAGTCCATAAAGGGGCAGAAAAATATGAGAAATTGTGCTCAAAAGTAGCGAAAATAGTGCATAAAGAAAACAGCCGATCAGGTAGCGAGTGAAGTGCTTGTATGTAGAGAACACGTTGGATAAGCGATAGCAAAAAGGTAATGTTGTAAACCAGGGTCTATGATACTCACTGCATTCGGTATTTATTCCAGTTCCCCAGTACAGACGGACGTCTGATCGAGATGCTCCGACTCCGGTGCCCGTTTCCGAAGGAGCCCAAATGGCATGGAAAGTACTCCGATAAGTGAGTACCCAACATAATGTTTCATAGAATGGGTAGTGTTGCAGTCTCTTAATGGTTTGTGACATTGTTATAGGACTCTATGATATTGTGTTAACTCCGCAGTTAATGTAACAATTATTATGACCAGCACCTCTCCCGTCCATATTTGTGATAAATTTCGGTGACCTCTATTTTTCGTTGTTTTCATGCTCGATGTCCTGATAAGCAAAGTACACGCCTTAAGGTTACGATGACACATTTTCTCAACCAGAGTCACTGAGTCAGACCGCCTGAACCATTTGACTGTCTCTAACAACCATCATATCAGTTGGTTGAGGACCTATTCTAACCTGAAATCTGCACGGGGTACATGGCCAAATCTTGGACTCCCTGGAGGTTCCATGGACAGAAATGATCCACGGCTTGTTAACAGATGAGGGCCTAATGATTACTATGTGAGACCTAGATGATTGTGTGAAACTGGCCCAGACGGCGTGAATCCTCCTAGTCTGTCTCGCAGTCCTACTGAACCGCATTATTTTCCCTAATGTTAAAGCGATAAATGAAGCAAATTTAGATTTCCTCAGGTTCTGAATCTCCTATCACACTGGGGCTCCTTTTCAATTTAAATGGGATTATTTGATACTATCAAACTTATATATTTACGCGAATCTTTGCCCATACAGTTACCTGCTGGTTTATCCGGTCTCTGCAGTGTATCGCCCCCTGCTATATATGTATACAACTGTCTCACCCAACTCTGTACATTAACCTGCAACGCAATAGATACTTTTGATACTGCGTACGGCATTATCACTCATTATCCTTTACATATATGTATATACTTCCAGTGACTTCAACTCCTGGAATACCGTAACGGCAGAGTTCAAGGACAAGTATCGACCATTGTCCCGGAAGGAGGAAGATGAATACTGGTTAAGTATGGACGACTTCCGGTGTAATTTCGGAGGGCTTGTAATAATCAGCAGCACTGAAGCATTCAATTACGAAGGACTCACTGTCGATAGAAACTATTCTCTTGACAACGACTTTCCTTTAGGTAAAGATCGGAATAAGTTTTTGTTTGGCAATCAAACCCGTCCTTTGCTCAACTTTGAAAGGACGTCCTCACCCTGTGAACATGGAATTAAGATGTTTTGTGACTCCCGACCAAATGCCGGCAAAATGAAGCTTGTGAAAAAATCTTCCTTTGTGAATAACTGTAGCGTGGATATGGACATAACAGGTGCCGACAGGACTGTTGTTCTTGACTGTACAAAGGAGCGGCTAAAAGCAGACGATAAAAGAAAAATGACAGAGAAACATGCAAGACCAGTTCCTAAGGGGCCACCTCAAGTGAAAGAAAGAAAAGTGAGCCAGCCCCTGGATCAGCATGGAGTTACATCGCCAACTGCCAGTAGCAGACGACAGTCCAATCCCTGGATGTGCAAGTCCCAAACCTCGGTCCCCGTAGATGGAGACAAGAGGCAGAAGCGGGCAAGCAGTTTCTTGACTCAGAGTGAACCCTACAGCTCATCTGAAATCTCGCTCCACATACGAACTACTCTCTCAGTGGATGACAATGGTCGGCCTCAGAGTGCCCCGTTGCCACGCAACCACTCAACTGGATCGCTAAGTTCACTGACGCAGATAAACTTTTTAGCAACAAAAGCCGACTTTTTCAGAGCTCATGGAAGGTGGCGGAATATCTTGGAGTACAAGGACAAGTGGTCAAGTAGGTACTGTTTACCTGTCACTTGAGTTATAGTGTTAAAGTATTTAGTCCTGATTATTTGTGGAAACAAACTCCACTGGGCGTTATTTGGAAATATGTCTTACTCCAAGAGTAGAAAACACAACTCTCGTAATTTTCATGAAAACTAAGTGTTTGTTTGTTGCCAAGAAATATAGTTGCCCAACCATATCCATGGGGGGCATGTTGAGAATGGAATCTGGACAAGACAATCCAGTGATCAGTGTCAACAGTCGTTGTCGACAAAGTCACCAAGCGAGATCACCGACCAAGTAAAGTGTGCGCTGTCAGCGTATACCTTAATTTGTACGATGTTTTACGTATATGTACACGGCCTTTCTTGCCGAACATCACAAAATAAGGAAACATGATCTGACGCTATCGTCAATTAATGGCAATCATTTTCACTTTGCTCCTTATATTCTGATCTCTCTTTTACGTGTATTTGTTGGTTAACGCCACACTCAGCAATATACCAGATATGTCAACTGGTCTCCACAACACAAGCCAGTGACTGACACCGTTATCATCCAACATGACATATGATGGCATACAATCACCGAAGCCACCTAGCCAGACCACTGATTCATTAAGTCGTCTCTTACTTGATGTTTGATTGGCATTTTAGAAGATGCTATTTGATGAACTTAAAGAATTTTCTGGGTTTCATCTTCTCTTTATTGTTTGGTACAACGTTTCAGGGCTTGTTCTGGCCCCATCATCAGGTAGAACTAAAGAACAGTAACTGTATAACCCCTGCTATATATGTATACAACTGACTGGTCTTGGGGCCTACCTGATGATGGGGCCAGAACAACCCCTGAAACGTAGTACCAAACTATAAAAAGAAGTTGAAACCCAGAAAATTCTTTGTTCGTCTCTTACTAGTAAATGGATCCTGTGGCCAGGTTCCATGACGTGACATAAACACGTCTATTATATCCTGTCTCACTGTCCGTGAAGATCCGGATTAGAGTTGGTCTTCAGGAACCAGTGCTTGGGGCGACTAACGGGTGGCCAGGCCAACTATCTGTTGCTTGACATCAAATCCCTGTTTAGTGTAGTCGAGGCTCATGATCTGGTTTGTCTGGTGCAGAACCATTTACAGACGCCGCCGTGTACCTGAGTGCGGCTCGTAAACAAACGACTTTCATCTCGCCCTTCATCTTCTACGGTATTTTATCTCGATTCTGGACACTAGTTGATTCTAGTTTGATAGTTTTTTATTTTAGGCCTAAAAAAATGTTGAATTCTGGTGCCGACCCTATTTTTAAAGCGGTATGAATAAAATAAGCTGTCAGATACCATTGTTTTTTTCCCGGCACCGACAGACATCGGTCATTCTGATAGGGAAACTCGACATGATGGCCGCAGGTTTGATTAAATAAACAATTACACATTGATTAATGTGTTATTAGTTTGTACTTGACGTCTAAAAGAAATATGTAAAAAAAGAAAATTCCTACCTACCCTAAATTTTATAGACGTGTAATCGGAACCACAACAATTTTTTTTTTATTTGGCCTTACTAGCATGGATACGTAACCATGTAACCAATAACCAAAAATATAATTTTGGTAAGTAACGACACGTTCTACTCTGTACATCAGGAAACCGGAAAGGCCTATCCAGGTCCAGCATCGAAGCTCACTCCAAAAGTCCTCGGATCCTGTTCCACGTGTCACGCGCAGATGTATCAGATGACATCATATCACCCAGCATGCAAAGCAAACGTCACGTGCTCATATCAGTCCTCCAAGATTATCGTCATGGTCCCTCCACTGCTAACAGTCTCCTAGTACCAGTTGGCTTTTGTATTTACAAGGTAAGATGTTCGACATTTTGTTTCGGATTTGGCTAGATCAATAACGATAAGATAATGTAGCAGGGTGATTTGAAGACTTCTATTTTTTTGTTTTCAGACCAAGAATCCCGATCGAGATGAAAAACGACACATTTCAAAACTTCAGCTAATAGGAGAGGTTGAAGGAAAACCGGAAATGCGGGAAGTGAATGCACGCTTTGACCTCGAACCCGGAAGTTATTTCATCGTTCCCTATTACGTTACACAGGTGCACGAGGGAGAATACCTGATCCGTATATTGACAGAGGGAGACCCCCCAAGCGGCAAAGCGGCGTGGTGAGAACTAGGTGTTGTGTTGTTTGGAGTGTTTGGTTTAGAGCCGCTGAGGGGAGTATCGCAGTTATACCAGTTGTTAGGTGATGTAGAACAGAATCAAGAAGTGACGCAAGTCTAAGACTTCTACTTGTTACAGACGGCCGTCAATAGCTGTAATATTGCTGCCTGCGGCGTTAAACAACGAACAAGCAAAACAAAATGTTACACCTACTACAAGTAAATACATGCTTGTTAATGAATAGATACATATTGTTTTTTTATGTCTTTTCAGTATAATATCGTGAAGACAAGATGAGTTGATATCCGCGTGCTTTAAGTACAGATATCTGCAACAACTTCGAAGACGTCGTTCAGGATGAGCGTTGTTGCAACTGCACCAATCGCATGAAGTTATGTATATACGATAACACAACAGAGAGCAACTGATGCTGGCAATGGAGTTGAGATATGTTTCTGAATGACAACAGTATGGTATTCATGACCACGACTGGCAGAATCCAACAGAAAACATGACACTGTGACACGCCATTGTAAGCAACTCATTCCAGCAGCACAAATATTGAAGCGCACATAAAATATGGCAGTGCCTTACACTTGGGTGGGCTCAGTGAAGCATCAGGTAATTCATGCCATGTGTTTGTAAGATGGGACGTTACAGTCAGATCACAGCTACATTTGATCGTAAGATTGGACACTTACAGTGAGATCAATCTTATCTGCGTACAACCACAATGAGATCGTCCGTTGCCCGTGTTTGGAAGGCCTGTGTTTACCAGTCACCCGTACTTCTCCCCAAAGGCGACCGACAAATACCGCCAAAGACTTTGCAGAGAAAGAAACAGAGACTTTATATCATTTACATACCTTTTAATATAACCCGAATACACAGAATCAACGTTTTATGTCATAATTTACAATTCATTGAATCACAATTACATTGACACATTATGTAACAAGTTTGCTGTTTTATTACCGCATTCGCCTATGTGTTTGTTTCCGTCCGCACTACCAGGAATGATGCCCACAGAGACACTCCAACACAGTGCGCTTCACCGTGCTTTATAATATATACCACTTGTACCCGCAGGTCCGACCTAGCGCACATAGTGCCATCTGTCATTGATATGTTAATGTAATAAACTGTTAACACAACATGAGGACCTGTATTTTTTGTAATGTTTATATTGAAACTGATCCCGTAGAGATACCAAAGCGAACACACATATTTTCCGTTATTCCTGATGTTAATGAACATTCCAACCAAATATTATGTCGCTCAGAAGTTATGAAATTATAACCAATTGTCGTAGATCCGTGGTCGCGATGCACCAGTGTACTTTTAAGTGTGAACGGGGGGCCAGCTAACTATATCATTGGCTGTCATGTCAGGGTTCAAGTCAACAGCTGGGACTGTGAAAATAGCAAATTCTTTATGTCTCCTCTTTTTTCGTGGGAATATTTCTGAAATCGGTGTAAAATCATTCTCACAAACTCAGTCACGCTATATGATGACGGTTATGAGATGCGGTCATATTTCCCCACCGCCTTGTTGGAGACGATGGGATAGCCCAGTGGTTAAAGCGTCGCTCGCCAAGCTAAAGTCGCGGGTTCGATTCCGTACATGGGTATATTGCTGGAATATTGCTAAAAAGGCGTAAAAGCATACTCGTTCACTCTCTTTCCTTATTGGAGGACTTACTTACATCCATGAGGTGCGAGATTTTGTTTTTACTGATCTCGTCATCTAACTGTTAAATTCCCCAGTGACATGACTGATACTAGTGCAATGACAAAATGGTAAAGTTGTTCTAGGGCATTGAGTACTGGTAACCCCGGTTACAGGTCACAGGTAGCTTGGTACCAAAAACAGGAATATAAGGAACCAATGGCACCGATAATGCACATTTGCTCTAAGGCACTGAGCGCTGATAACCGATGCCTTACTATACCAGTGACAATGTATAATCATTCTAAGACACTGAATACTTGAACCAGCTCTTCGTGGACTCCATCGGGACAAAGAATGCTCTCATCACGTGTTGTTAACGTAAATTCGGAATTCTTTATTCGTAAATATCGATTTATTTGCGTTTGTTTGAACAACAGTGTGACTGTGCACGATAAACATCCTAATGTACGAAAACCTAATGCAGCCACTTTTGTAGCATAAAAAAGAATTCAGCAACATTTCTCGTTGCTTCGATTATTTTGTCGGTGCTTGGAAGTATTTACTCGATATTGCAAATACTGTCTCGTTAGTTCTCGTTCCTTCATGTTTCTTTGAAAAACTTGAAAATTCGAGTATTAAATCGTTCTTACGAGTATTTTCTCGTTACTTCAAATACGTTTTCGTTGCTTTGATTAATCTCGCGAGTATTTTCTGCAAAAAAACTTGACATTTCGAGTATTTACTCGTTGCTTCGAGTGTTTTCTCGTTCCTCTAACGTCCTTTCAAAATCCAGAAGTAACGAGAAAATACTCGAAGCAATGAGTAAATACTTGAAATTTCTAATTTTTGAATGAAACTTGAATCAACGAGAAAATACTTGAAATTTCAAGTTTTGGAAAAAAAACCCTGAATCAATGGGAAAATACTCGAAGCAACGACAAAATGATCGAACTAACGAAAATATAATTGAAGTAACGAGAAAATACTCGAAGTAAGGAGTAAATACTCGAAGCAACGAGAAAATAATCGAAGCATAAAAAATAGTTGAAGCAACGAGAACTTTAGCTGAAAAAATATTTAATGCTACAAAAGTGGCTGCATTAGGGTTTAGTACTGATGATACTTGCTTATGTAGTCCTACTGGCCCAGCGTAAACTGCAGACAACTATATATATAGATAATCAACAGAGAGAGACGCGCACCTGCTGGCATCCTTCCGACAACTCACACATGTGCAGGTAGAACTTACTGGTATACATGGCCAACAAACAAAAGAAAGTCATTCTATTTTTAATGTCGTGATCAGTGGGGCCTGGGTAATCACTTAGAGAAATAACGCTCAAAGGTCATAGCGTGAAGCCTGAGGGTCGGGTAATAAGGCTAACATCTAGTCTCTAAAGTGTTTCTTGTTTCTTGTTTTACGCCGCACCCAGCAATATTCCAGCACTGGACCAGACTTGAGCTATGAAGACGAGTGCCACAGCAGCTGAATCATGCCCAGACCTTGCAGGAACGTGGGCAAGTACTAGCTGATGATTTCTAGGTGGACTACTCGGACAGGTTCTCCTGGTTTTAAGGCTATGTTTTATCACAACCTTTCTAGATGGTCACACGCGTCGTTGACTGAAGAAGAAAGAAGAAGAAGAAAAATAATTTAATCAAGGGTCTAGCGATATATTTCATTTTCGTTCGATGATTCATAAGATAATCGCCCGGCCATCTTGAGCCTATTAGACCCCAATCACAATTGGTACACAATTAAAAGCACTATAAGAGCTAAGATAAGACATTTAAAATATATAATTGTTAAACATTTACATTAAAATATCATGTAAGACATCAAGTTAAACTATCAGTGGAGGTGGGAGTGTGGAACCGTCTACGCTTGAACATAATTATAATTAGTGCAGCTACGGTATTCGATAACTTATCGCACTGCATAATAAATGTACTTTTATCTGAACTAGATAGTTGGCTAAAATTTGGGTTGATAGCAGAGGCTAGACTAAAAAGTGATACTCTCAGGTCAGAATATAAAGTACAGTCAATAAGAAAGGGTGTCTCGTCTTCAACATTAGAAGAATTACAGTGTTTACATACACGCTGATCTAAGGGAGTTTTGGGTTTCTTAAACCGACCAAGTTCTACTTATAAAGGGAGTGTGCCACATCTAAATTTGGCTAAATAACTCCTATGAGCTCATACTTCTACCGTTCCAACAGTTTTATCAGTATGAGGCTACCTTTGCTCTGTGTGTGCGTGCGTGCACATGCGCGCGCGTGTTTGATGGATTGTCATGTTTTATGTTTCCAATAAAAACTTTTCGTCGTCGTCTATATTTCACCTGTACGATAGCAGTATGATACACATCTATTTTTCATAACGATGTACACATTTCTTCCCATGGGGGATTCAGTTTGCGAAGTTTCAAGTTTCTAATTTGGTTGAATATACATACGTGAAACATTCACCTCACATCATTCACTAGTGAAAAATTCAAAGTATATTTTACACAACAGTTGACATAATAACATTTCTTGTTGATTCACAGAGATTATGATCCTTGCCCTGTGAAGGATACCCATGCTCTTCCTGCCAGGCGTCAGACCGCCTCCGTGGTGTAGTGGTTAGAGCGTCCGCCCTGAGTGCGGAAGGTCGCGGGTTCGATCCCCGACCGCGTCATACCAAAAGACAACGTTAAAATATGGTACTTGTTGGTCCCTGCCTGGAGCTCGGCATTAATGGGTACAACAAGGACTGGTCGGCTCGGAGTCAGTATAATGTGTCTGAGTGGGGTATTCATCCTTCACTGCGGCATGGTATCTCAGTGGGCTAGCACTATAAAACCAGCTTCAGTCTGGGCTAGTACGAGCAGCCGCACATACACATACATACACGCATGCACGTCGTCATATGAGCGAAATATTCTCAAGCACGACGTTAAACCCAATTCCACCACCTCCTGCCAGGCGTCAACCCGTCAACCCGCTTTAATTCTATAGCGTACACGTGATGGCAGGGTAAAGCCTTTGTAAACTCGGTGACGCCTTCGACAACATCATCACTTTCGTCTATTCCTGAAAACTGAAACATGTCGAAAACAGCGTAAAACCGCTCGGACACAGCTCAAAACCGTGTTTTGAACACGTTAGACGTTATAGTCATCCTGTGTCAAGTATATATCTTTTGTCTTAAGATAAATATCCAAACACCGTTTAAACCATTTCAAATTACATGACGCCAAATAGCCGTTCAATTAAAACACATTCATCAGCTATAGAAAGTCCGTGCTAAATAGGTGACAGGCGGCGTGTCTTTCAAATTGAAATTTCCGTGTCGAATGGCTATAAGATATTCTTCATGGATGATCAAAAATGATTCTTTATATCAGATGTTCATACCAAACATTCATGTGGTATAAATCCAGCCAAGATCTTAGATATATCTCAACGTTTTTTCTCAAGTAATGATCCTGATATTCAAGATCTACAAATAGAATTAAACTTAGATTGGGGTGAAGGTAAATTCATTGACCAATCCTATATGAAAGCATGGATACATGAATGACGAGGAAACATCGATGGTTATTAACACATCAATAGGTGACGGAGGGCACACCTTCCCTTTCCCACACTTAACATTTACGACCAGGCGTTTTCTCTGCTCCATTAGGTATCGAGACACGATGTTACAAAGAGCCGTCCCTACAGGACGATATAACATGCACTGTGTACGTGATATAAGGCTCTGAACAGCTAATCCGTGTCGGCATTGAACAACTATTGCACATGATACACAGGAGTAGTGGGGGTGCCCGTGTATACATCTTGAATGAGTGAGTGAGTTTAGTTTTACGCCGCTTTTAGCAATATCACGGCGGGGGACGCCTGAGAGAGAGAGAGAGAGAGAGAGAGAGAGAGAGAGAGAGAGAGAGAGAGAGAGAGAGAGAGAGAGAGGAGAGAGAGAGAGAGAGAGAGAGAGAGAGAGAGAGAGAGAATAACCCTCAATTAAAGGGATCGTTGACGATTGGATTGTGAAGTCATCCCGTTTGTCATTCAGTGTTATCACTCTGAAACATTAGGCACAAGCCTAAAAGACGAGTCAGTCTCTCTGGTCTCCATTATTTCTACTACAGTAAGCAGTGGAAGTGAATGGTACTTATTAAGATATCTTCAATAGGATCTTGAGTTCACGTGCTCAAAAGTTCAAGTTCACAGTGCCAGAATGTCTGCCAATCCCAGCAGAAATTCGGATTCTTGTGCATAAAGAAACAGATCCACAATCGATGCTCATGGTAATCCAAGTTGATGTCATCAATCAGAATTAAAACATTTCACATAAGGTTCTCTAAGTAAACGCCAGATGACATTTACTTTCACTTTTGACAAACTGTTCTTGACCTCTTAAGACAGGTATGTACCTATATCACCGATCACTACATTTAGTGACAAACGCCCTATGGGTCAAGGAATGAAGTTGGAATACAGT